ATGATTGACACATATCCATTCCCAGAGGCCCCAATCAACATGATCAACCTTCATTAGGTTGAGAAAGGAAAAACAAAGTCTCTGTTAGGCCATCAGAAGGTGTTAGAAAGTTGCCCGAAAGACCTTAAGCAGTTGTGGCCAAAGAAGTGATTTTATGCAGTAAATGTCAATATGAATGTGAACTTGAGGTACTAACATCAGACGCCATTATTGATCTGGAGTTAGTCAGAAGAAGACAGATAGAGGAGCAAAATGCCTGCAAAAGTATTCTTCAGGTCGTAGAAAAAGAAACCTCCAAGAATGTGTTCTAGAGATTGGGAGGAGATTTAGAACCTAAGGGCCTATCTGAGGTGTTCAGAAATTATGAGGCTTTTGAATAAGCTGAAGATAAGGAAGTTAAAATGCCAAGGTAGGTGGATGTGAAACCTCCCCAGCCAAATTATCATAACAGTGTGAGACAAAGATGGCGAGAGAGAACCATGAACCCAATTTCCCTAGTTACTATGAAACATTCAGCTCAACTTGGTTGAAAGTGGTACATCGTAGGTAAAGATGGGAAACCTGTTAGAGAGATGAGGGCATCTATGATAAAGATGGTTCAAAGGCAGCATAAGGCCTACATGAACTCATTAAAAATCTCTACCATTTCAGAAGCTTCTGGAAATGTTAAGTTTAAGGAGGTCACACAAGGAGAAAGAAGACGACTTCAATAGAGAAGTAAAAGAGAGATAACGAGAGCTAACAGTAAAGTGGAGGGTAAAAGAGATCATGTACCTCAAAACCCCCATCTAGGGAAGTATAGAATCTTTCGAAGAGCTTAAGAAAGTGTGGTGATTATGCCTACACCAGGCTGGAATCCAAAACCTATCTATTTTGGGACCATCTCCCTTAAGAGAGGGATAGCTCCACCTCTATTGGAGGATGTTCACTGCGAAATCCCAAAATTGTTGCATAACTTTGGTATAGCAGAAGAGGAATAAGTGTCTAAGTTGATGTTAACCAAGGATGCCCAGGTATGGATAGACCAATTTCTGTGTCAAATTGGAGGAAAGAAAAAGGAAGTACCATGGCTCAACAACTTCCATGTAAACATAACCTATATCTTATCATCCATGTTTTGTGCATAACCAGATCAGCTCACAGCAATGGAGGGCGATTATTTGGGACCAGAATTAACAATGGCACTTGTAACCATTAAGGAAGCTGGGCAAGAATGATCAAGCTTTGCAGACTTGCTGGACCTTACACAAAAAGTGCCCGAGAGGGTTTATTCTGACAAAATGGTGTTCAGCAAGCCAAGTCTAGCTTTAACAAACCATATGAAACCATATATATGACAAGTCATCTAGAAAGAGTCCCCTTAAAGAGGGTGCTGATAGATGGTGGGGTAGCATTCAATGTGCTCCTACTTAAACAAATGAGGATGCTTTGTAGAAGTGACGAAGATCTTATTCCTACTGATCTTACAATCTCTAGTTTTTATGGGGCCATTACTAGAACCTATGGGATTTGCATTTGGAGGTAGACTTGGGATTCGAGAAAATGATGTTAGCATTCTTTATGGTGGACAACAGCTTTACCTATGAGGCATTACTGGGGATAAATTGGATGCACCAGAGTCTATCTGTGCCATCCACCTTACACCAACAAGTTGTTGTCTACCATGAGGCCAGAACTGAGGAGCCAGGATTTTAGGAGATAGTGGAGGTCGAATCACGACCATTTCTCCCTATAGCCAATGTTGTAGAAGAAATTTTTAAAATCCCAGTGTTGGGATCTTACAATGCTTAGGTGTTAATAAGAACAGCCGCCCTACCAAGGTGATGGCCCAGAAGCTCTTAGAGTAAAGACTTTCTCTCACTAAAAAGGAATGAGACATGCCTTATATTGTCCTAGCCCACCAACACTAATGATGATAGATTAGAAGAGGAAATACCATTTGATTGCAGTCAGGTCCTTAATTAAAAGACTGCTGGAATATAGGAGAGAAAGAAGAAAGATTAAAGAGAGGTCAACCAATGAGATGGCATAGTGTGGAGAAGGAACTTTAGGCACCAAAGATAGAGAAGGGAAAGCGATTTTGAAACAAGAGGTGGAAGCATCCATTCATATGACATAATGTATATATGATTTGGATTGGCTAGAGGATGAGCCCGAGGCCCCAAAGTTAGTAGAATTTTTGTGTACAGAGCCTGATAAACTAACACTAGAAGTACAAGACCCCTTGGAAACCATTAATTTGGGGACAGAGGAGGATCCAAGGCCTGATACAAAATCAGTGGCTTGTTAGAGGCTGGAGATCGGGCAAAAATAGTTGACCTTTTGTATGAATTCAAAGACTATTGTGCATGGTATTACATGGAGATGCCTGGATCGGACGCTAGCTTAGTGGAGCACAGAATGCCTATCAAAGATGGGTACAGACCTGTGAAGCAAGCATCAAGAAAAGTGTCGAAGGAAATAGAAGAAAAGTCAAGGAAGAGATTAAGAGGCCGGTAAACGCAGAATTTATTAGGTTTGCTATGTTGAGTGGTTGGCTAACATTGTACTTATATTAAAAGCAATAACTAACACTATCCGATGTTGTGTCAACTATAGAAACATTAATGAAGTCACGCCTAAAGATGAGTACCCCATGCCTAAGGCTGACCTGTCCATAGATGCAGTTGCAAAACATGAAGTTCTATATTTTATAGATGGGAATGCTGGATATAATCAAATAAAAATGGCTAAAGAAGACATACATAAAATAACATTTAGAAGCCCAGGACATGTAGGAGCATACAAATACGTAGTCATGCCATTGGGGCTGAAAAATGCTTGTGCTACCTACCAAAGGGTAATGAATGCTATTTTTCATGATCAAATAGGGCATAACATGGAGGTATACATTAATGACATTGTGGTGAAGTAAAAAAATTGATGAGTAGCACCTGGAAGACCTCAGACAAGCCCTAGTACGAATGTAGACTCATAAGTTAAAGGTGAATCCTAAGAAATGTGCCTTTGAGGGTTATATAGGGCAACTTTTTGGGATTCCTATTTCATCAGAAAGGTGTGGACATAGACAAGAACAAAGCTCGGGCTATAATGGAGTCACCTTCCCCCACCAACAAAGTGCAATTACAAAGGCTATTAGGGAAGATTAACTTTTTAAGGAGATTCATTGCTAATTTGGCGAGCAAGATCCAATCGTTAACTCCTTTATTAAGATTAAAGAATCAAAATAAATTCGAGTGGGTCCCACAACACTGAGAAGCTTTTGACAGAGTAAAAGTTAGTCTTCACCAATGCTCATGCCCCCTCATATGGGAAAACCTTTGAAACTCTACATCTCTGCATTTGAGAAATAATTAAGAAGTTTATTGGCTCAAAACAATGAAGGGGGAATGAGCAAGCAATATACTACCTCAATAAGATCGTTATTGAGGTAGAAACAAGATATAACCCAGTTGAGAAGCTATGTTTAGCTTTATACTTCACTGCCTACAAATTAAGGCATTACACGTTGCCTTGCCATATCCATATAATTGCCAAGACTGATGTGATTAAATACATAATGTCTAAGCCAATGCTAATTGGAAGAATTAGAAAGTGAATTTAGCATTATTTGAGTTCAGTTTTCAGTATGTACCTCAAAGAGCAATGAAAGGGCAATCAATTACAGACTTCCATTCTGAGCACCAAGACTCTAAAGAGGGACTTGTCAGCATCTCTGGAACTCTAGAAGTGGCCAGCCTTTGGTGCCCACCAAGTAAAGCTCATTTGGGCATGGAAGAATGGATCCAACAAGAAGTAAAGAGAATAACTAGCCTATGGATCACTCTCTGGAAGTTATATTTTGATGGGTCTTTCACTCAACATGCTGCAGGAGTTGGGATTGTCATCATTGATCCAAAGGGAATTCAAAATCGCTACTCATTCCTTCTAGGTTACCAACAATAGGGTAGAGTACGAGGCATTGATTATTAGTTTAGAAATCCAAATAGAGTTGGGGGTAAATGAGGTCGAAATATATGGGGATTCTGAGTTGGTGATTAATCAGTTGAATGTGGAGTACAAATGCAGACATCTCACAATGGCAGGTTATTATTTAGCAGCTACTCAGTTGCTAAACTATTGGGGTAGTAAAGTATCAATCAATCATGTCCTTAGAGAAGTAAATTTAATTACGACTGAGATGGCATAAATGGCTTCTAGAGCATAGATTCAAGAAAGAATGTTTGAGGTGAATATAGAAATACAAAGAAGAAATCTCGTTTCTATCTTTGAGAGAGGGTTCAGCCTAGATGTAATGACCAAAGAACCAGTGATAGAAGACTAGAGAACCTGCATCATTCAATACTTAAAAGACCATTCTTCCTCCACGGGTAAGAAGATTAGGCAGCAAGCAAGTTTGTTATGTGCGACAATACCTTGCTAAGAAAGACTCTAGATGGGCTTTTGTTGAAATGCTTAGGCATGGAAGAGTTAAGGAGGGTGATGGCTGAAGTACATGAAGGCACTTGTGGAGCGCATCAAGATGAAACAAAGATGAGGTGGTTGCTAAGAAGGTAGGGCTACTTTTGGCCTAATATGGAAAAAGATTGTAAGACCTATGCTAGAAGGTGTGAAGAATGTTAGAGACATGGAACCCTTCAGCATTTACCATCAGTGTTTTTGAATCTGATAGTGAAACCATGGCCTTTTAGAGGGTGGGCAATAGACTTCATCGGGAAAATATACCCAGCTTCCAGTAAGGGGCACACCTTCATAATTATGGTAATTGATCACTTTACTAAATGAGTAGAAGCTTTAACTGTAAAGACCATCAATTCAGCTGTTGTGAAGAAGTTCATTGAGGCTAAGATCCTACAAAGATATGGGGTGCCCGAGATAATTATTACAGACAGAAGGTCGTCATTTATATCAAAAGAAATATAATAGTTTGCAGACAAGTTCAAGATAAAGATAGTCCAATTTAGCCCTTATTATCCTTAATCCAATGGTCAAGCAGAAGCTAGCAATAAGATTTTGGTGAATATCATTAAGAGAATGGTGGTAGATAGTCCAGAAAGGTGGCATAAGAAGTTGGGAGATACTATTTGGCATAAGAAGTTGGGAGATACTATTTAGGCTTACAAAACCTCAAAGAAGGCAGGAACTAGGACCACCTTTTATGCATTAACCTTCAGGCAAGATGTTGTACTCTTTATGGAAATCAATGTAAGTTCAGTAAGGCTTCAAAAGGTTACAAGAGATCCTAGCCTAACAAGTTTACATCCCTTGCTAAGGCATCTATCCTAGAATGATAGGTCTGCATAATAGTAAAGATTATGCCCGGCTCCCTTAAGGCGATGTTATTGTTGGTTAGTTGAGCTTAGGAATCTTCCACTTCAAGATTGACTTTCTTCACTTCCTCAATTTTCTGATATAGTTTGCTTGATAGAGTTATCTAATCAACCTTTAGTTGTATAGAAAGTTGCTCCTCCAACTTCTGGATCTTAGCAACAACCACCATAGCCAAGCTCGCTTTTACTAGTTACTGCAAGGAGTTGGAAGTTCTGGAGTGCTTCTCCTTATAACACTTCACTTTATTTGCTTGCCTTTCTGCCCAAAGATATTGGTCCCTTACAGCTTTCAAATTCTCCAAGAAAGAAAGAAAGAACTCATATTGAACCTTTGACATTTGTTGAGCCTTGTACAATTCAGTGAGGACTTTCTCAGTATCTGAAGTGCCTTGAGGCTAAAGGAGGCTGTGAAATCCTTCTGCATCCATTCCTTGAAGACTCTCTACAGATCTTGAAGATGTTGAGGTGCGGAGAGGCGCTTTGAAGACTTCATCTTTGTCTTGATTTTCCTAAACTCTTTCATTAGTTCGGGCAAGGAAGCCATGACTGGAATAGATACTAGATGGGGAAACATTACTCCAGCACCCTTAGAGGCAACAGCAGCAATGGCAGCTTCAATAGAAATGAAGGGGAAAAACTATGAACTAGCAGCAACAACTTTTCTAGGTCGAGGGATGGGGATCCCTATGACTCCAAAAACCTTGGGAGGCTGAGGGAGGACCGCCTTGCTCATTACCGGCTAGGGAGACTTGCCCAAATCCTCATCAGAAGCCTGTTAAACCAAGAAAAGACAAGTTAGTGGGTTAGTCTATAACTAAACTAAAAAAAGAACATAAATGAAAGAACTTGTATATCTGAGCTGAGCCTTAAGCTTTGGGAGGGGGTTCTGCTGATGCAGTTGACTTAGGAGAAGTAGGCTAGCTGGCCCGAGAGGAAGCTTGGGAAGCCTTGGGGCTGGTCACCTCAGAGACAACAGGTATCTAGGGGACTATAAGTTCCCTAAAGGTTGGTGTTGATAGATGGGTGGTCTTGTGTACTATAGAATACTAGCAAAGATAATACAGGTTGTAAGTTAATGAAGAAACTTAAAAGAAAACTCAGAAGGACTTAAGGAAAAAAAACTTATAGAAGTGTTGTCATCCTCTATGTAATGAAGCATCTCCCAAGTTGTGGGATTGAACAAAGAAGTGGGGATCACCACCATTACCAGATGAGAAGTGAAAGAAGTAGAAGCTGGTGTTTGCCCGACTTGAGATGTAGAAGTGCCTCCCTTTGCCTAAAAAATAACATAAGTAAATATTAAGCCTTTGGAATTTAGAAATACAACCTAACTAGTATCAAAGGAAAGAACTATACCTCTGAGGGCTTAGCCCCGATGAGGGGAAATATGCGCAGATTGGGCTGGATGAGAAGAAGGCTCGCACTACGAGGTTCCCTTTGCTTTGGTATCCTATATTAATAGACAGCAAAGAATTAGCAAGAGTATGAAGGAGAGAGAACTTCAAAATTAATTTAGTACTCAAGGTTTGAGAGATTATACCTTCAACTCCTCGAGAATATTGGTGAGGACCTTCTTGTCACTTGGTTGCACTTCAACACCTGATTGTGACTATTTGGAAGTGGGGGCAGGTTTCTTAGTGGTAGAAGGCTCTGATTACAAAAAATAGAAGGGATTAGTTTAAAACTTAGCAAAATCAAAATTAAAAGAAAGGAACCAAAGCTGAATCACTTACTGGAGGATTTATGTTTCTTCCTGCCCGCTTTAACTAGATGGGCAGATGAGGGTTTGGAGGCCTGGGAAATCTGAGACCTAGTCATTGTCTTTGTATAAGTAACTCTCGGGCTAGGTAAGGCAAGTTGAGCTTGGGACCTCTCCTCAGCTCAGACTCCAACGACTTCACCACAGAAGCCTTCGCCCGACGAGGGGCTTTTGTCTCGAATTTAGGCCTAGCCTTAGCCTCTGATTCACTAAATAGCTTGGAGATCTCCTTAGTATCCCCAGAAGCATGGCTAAACCCTACTTTTTGCCTAGCTTCCTCTACAGTAGCCTCTTGAAGAACCAAGGCATCATTAATATCCTCTTTTTGCCCAACATCCACTTCCTCAATGTTGCCTTGGGGTGCAAAATCAAGAAAAGAATTAACTAACCACAGAGTATCAAAACATTATGTAGAAGAGGACAATAGAAGTAAGGTGACTTACCTATGAGTAGAAGCGGTTCTTTTGGTTGATAGTCTTATTCCAGTTCTCGAACTTGTCCTTCTTGGGGTGAGATTTGAAGAAGACTTGACTAAAGAGACTGTCATGGGCTTCTATGATGTCTCTATCGTACTTCTTCGACCACTTGGCCTCCCACCAAATGGCAAACTAAGGAGTGCACTCGAAATTTAGGGCCACAAGCTTGTGGGTAATCCTACTCATCACCTCAAGACTGCGCTGCGTTGCCCGAAAGGTGACCTTAGATGGAGAACAAAGGCAATATGAGGTCTTACAGTGAAAAGAGTCGAAGAAGAACATTGAAAGTGCCTACCTGAATCCAGTTATCTAGCACAGAAGTTGGGATAACAGATCTCTAGCCTGTGCTCGTACCCTACTTTATCACTTCAAACCTCCAAGGCCAGGTCTCTTTGTTGGATGCAGCTGATAAACTTCTTGCATGAGCTACTGGAATCCTCCTCAAGGAACTCCAGATTAGCAGCCCAAAACTCGAGGAAGTACCACTGGAGCCAGAGCTGCACTATCTAAGTAGCGATGTTAACGTTGGTCTCAAATGGCTCGCACTTGGTCATTTTGTGGAAAAGGTGATAGAGATGTGCTAGAATGAATGACCTTATGATAACATCATCAAATGAGTGTAGTGCCTCCACCAAGGGGATCCACTCCAGCTTTACCCCATTCGATTTGTTAGGGAACACATGCTTATTCAACCAATAAAGGAAGAAATACATGTGTTCTAGGCTCTGTCTGCAGTTGGGGAAGGTGGGCTGAACATCTTCTTGGCAAAGGGAATGAAGCCCACGAAGGATGTCTTGTAGCTTTTAAAGGTGAAGGAATTGTACTCTAGATAAGTGATTAACATTGGAGTCCTCCGAGCTTTCAATGGTTAGGCAAGAAGGTGATGACCAGTCATGTGTGATATCCACACATTTGCTCGAAGGCCTCAAGCTGAAGACTTGAGCCATGTCCAAGATCGTGGGAGTCATGAGACCTATTCTGAATTCGAATGTGTTGGTCCCATTGTTCCAGAAGAGCAAGACAGTTGACAAGAGCTTGTGCTTGATTGGGATAGTGATATTTGACATCATGATCAACTCGTAGATGCCATTCACCATCCATTTTTGCTTCCAAATAGGTTCTAGCTCGTCCACCCACTGAGACCAAGCCTTGTCCTTCATAAGAGGGAAACCTCCCTAAAATTTGACCACTTGGAGGCAAAAATCCCACCCTTGGTGGAATAGGGGTTGGGGGTAAACAATGGGCAGCATGCATGTTGTTTTCCACTACAATTGGGACTCGAGACAGTCTAGGCAAGCCTTAGAGAATGTACCCTTTCCTCCTAGAAGAAGATGGACAGGTTCAGGCCAGCCCGAGGGCGATGAAAGCCGTTAAGCCAACAGCGCAAATTGACCATCCCCTCTCCAGATTCTCATTCAAGGCGTAGTTTGGGGGCCATGATTGATTTCGAGGGAGAAAAATAAGAGTGATTGAAGGCAAATGGCAAGAAAGGGCAGAGAATGCAAGAGGTTCAAGGGTTCTGGAAATTAAGAGATATGAGTTTGCTGTAAGTGATAACCGAGGAAATTTAAATAAAGGTTATTTAACAAGCAGTTAGTTAAGATTGGAGATCATGGGCTTTATGATAATGGAGGCCCAAAGATGCAAAAGCAAATAGAAGATTGAGCTTAGGCAAGTCGATAGGCCTGAGAGGAATTAAAAGCTATTTTAGCAAAGGCATAGGCCATATGCCTATGTTTGAAGTGATGGGCAACATAAAGCACCTCACCACCAGCCAAAAAGCACTTTTTAAGGGTATGGATGAGCAAGTAAGTGATCACTCACTGCCCTCCGAAAGTTATAAGTTAAAGGTAAAGATGGGATAGTCGAGCCAAATTGTTTATAAAAGCAGAGAAAGACACCAGAGACAAGAACACTCAACCAATCAATCAAAAGACATCCAAACTTTGTTCTCAAACAAGTTCATACCTAGAAAGCTGCACTTTGTCCAGATTCTACCATTTTTAGCTGTATTTCTCCTTAGAAAGCCATATTTTGTTGAGTTTAGAAGCTCAACTACCTTCCCTTAGTGTTGTAGTACTGATTCATTTAGTAAAACCTATTTACTTTTCATCCCTCTCAGTATACAAACCTCTATAAACACAAAGAGAAGTGGTTGCAAGAAGTTCAACCTTGCCCAACAAGGTTAAATCTTGCTCGAATCTCTTTTGTTTGTACTTATATGTAGTAGATCTGTCGTTTAATGCATTTTCCTTCATGTATTTAAATCATTTTCAACTATTTTACACTTAAAAGTTTCATTTTGCAAATCAAATATGGATAAGTTAATAAACCTATTTTCATTAAAGCAAACTTTGATCGAGGAAACGGTTGGAAGGGCCCTGAAACCCCTTCATTTTGGACATACAATGTTATAAATTAAAAGTCCTTGTTTACAAGGCAAGAAAAAGACCTTCATGTAGACTTAACCCATCTGCGACAATCCTTTGATAAATAAGAAGTCTAAATAACTTGAGGCACAAGTAACCAACCTAATTTACACATATTCAACAATCTGTTATACAAAAATAACAGTGGCATGCTTAGATCTTTGTTAGTTTTGATTGTGAGCCTCGAGGCCTACACCAAAGGGCCCCCAAGGACACCTTTCGAACTAACTATAAACTCGTCTTGCAGCACACCAAGAAGCAAAATCTTGTCCGACAGGCAAGAAATAGCCATTTTCCTAGGGGGTTATGCAAGGGACTAGATCTAGAAATACAACCCGAACAAGACTACAACTTGCTCTGGAGCTAGGGGCTAAGTATGCCCAAGTTTATAGTGATTGACAACTGGTGGTGAATAAGATAAATGACGAGTTCAAGTCCTGAGACGGAAACATAATGGCCTACGTGGAAGCAGCAAGGGAGTTGGTAAAGCTTTTCACAAGGTAAGGCTGACATCTGCGTCTGAGGGGGAGATTAAGTGCTTGTTACTTATTGAGCACTTAGACGAGCCTAGTATCCTACGCCCTAAGAGCTCAGTGGCGGAGTTGAACGAGAAAGACACTTGGATAACCCTAATATTTGACGACATATGTCATGGGTCATTCCCTGAAGACATACGTGAATCTCCATGTGTACGGTTTTGAGTGGCTAGGTACACCATTATTGACAACAAACTCTACAAATGAGGTTTTTCTTTACCCTATCCATGGTACAAGTCTTCTAGGAAATTCATGAAAGAGTTTGGGGCGATCATTCAGCAACCTGCACGCTCAGAGCCAAGACGGCCAAACTAGGCTATTACGGTCGAACATAGCTATATAAAATATCACATGATGACCATGTGGTGAAAATAAATCACTAATATTGACAAATTAGATTTTATGGCCGTTGACCAATTTTATATGTCTCATCCTTAACTAGCTTCAAAACATATAAATTCATCATAAATCAATTTCTATTTGAATCTCATTTAAAGACTAGATAAATAAATCATTTCTCAAAGCCATTTAATCGAAAATGTAGTTTTTGAAGGAATCAACTCACCGATAATGCGAGTATAATTCATAATAGGTACCTTTGTTTATAATTGTACCTATAAAATAAAACTTAGCTTTACTAAGCATATTCTAACATTTCACAAATTTTGTCTCCTTAATGTGATTAACGGCTTTGAATTAGCCTATGGATTGTGCCAATTGATTTGGGACTGTCGAAAAATCTAAAGTAGGTCTTAGGGTCCCCACACGCCGCCACTCACTGGGAAGACGCGCCATCTAGAAAAGAATAGGAAAAGGAAAAGGAATACAAAGTAAAATATTCAAGTAGAATATCCACGTAAGATTCCCACTTAACCGTGATCATGTTCGAATATTCAAAAGCCTATTGCTGGTTCCTAACAACACATGTCCCTAAGTTGCATCATCCGAATTGCTGACTCTAGTCGAGTTGCGACCACCGAACGCATACTGTTCTTCATTTCTCCTATCTTGTCTTCCGCCTAAGCCACGTCCATTCAAAGTTACACTTTAAGTTTGTCACTGTAGAAAAGGTTGTTATCTTGGAGAAGTAAGTTGATTGAACTAACAGATAGAGCGAGCATGGAAACATTCCATGACCATAGTCCGAATACTAAATCATACCAAAAGGCATCCCAATATTCAAATTAGAATTTAGAAATTCTTCCACTAATGTCCTAGTTGACCATCATTAAAATGTAAAATTGTTTCGGTTCGACCGTTGCCATTGTGGTAAATGAAACATGTAGTGCATAAGGAAATAAGATCCTTCCGAGGAGAAACCACTCCGCGATCCATTTTCAAGGAAAGTGTATTACCAATCCAAACCCTACTCACCGAGGAGTAGTCAAATTAGATCCACCGTTTGTAGACCTCTAAAGTTGTTCTTAAATGCCGTCTTCACTGCTTATTTTTCTTTCTTCTTACAATTACTACTTGCTCTGCTTTCTTAGCTAAGCAGAAAGCAGCTTCCTAAATAACTCCATAAACCACAGAATAAACACGAAATCCCGGGTTAATTCCACTATAAACTAGTTCTCCTTTTCTTCATGTTATTTCTGAATCGCAGACATAACTTAATAAATCTCCGGAAGTCCTGCTCTTAATTGGCTACCGACATGTCTCCTTACTCAAGCGATGGAAACTTTCGTCTCTGCATCATGTGAAATTTAGGACTTAAGAAATTAATCTTGAGTTTTTGCCTTTAACAATTCCCATATCGCAAGTGTGTTCATCGATATCGTCCTCTTTTCTGCTTTTCAAAACTTCTTAGCACTCCTGACACGAAAATGCCGTGGTGCACACCTTCTGATTCTCCAGACATCTCGTAACTTCCACGACATTATTCCCGTAATTCAGCCAAAATTAGGCTTCTTCATCTGACCTTCGGTCATCAGTTGAATAGGCTTCATGACTCACAACAATCTCTGTCCGAGTACGACTTTAGTTTTCCAATGGGAATTAGTTGGGCTAACGCCTCAACTAACTGTCGTAAATAGGGGCGGAGGCAATATATGCCTAGCATAGGCCTAGGCCTACTCTTTAAGCCCTTCTAAATATTTAGTATTATATATATATATATATATATTTTTTTTTTTAAACTTAGTATTATACATCTTTTAGTTTACACAAAACTTTTGAATTCTATTCACCAATAATTAAAACAAGAGGTCTTTTTTTCTTTTCACCCAACGACACTCATCCTAAAACTAAATCTAACTCTTATTTTGTATACAAGTCAATAACTCTTAAAATTAAAATCTAAAATATACTTTAGTTTTATCATAAGATATTCTTTTATATTGTCAACCTAAAGAATAATAAACTTTGAGCTTTTCCTCCTTCCCTTGTTGAATTTCATGAATTTTGCCCTCCAAATTTTCAACCGAAAACAATGTTAAGGTTTGTAAATCTCTGTGTTCGCTTTAACTTTTTACTAATAATATGATCTAAAAACATGATCCCCTAGTATTTTTCATTGACTTGATATTGGAAGGTTAATTTCTTTTAATCCTCTTTAATCTTGATTAACTACTCTCTATATTGGCTTGATATTGGAAGATTAATTTTAACATGGAAAAAGCATTTAGCGCCTCAAAAAAATTTAATTAGATCACAACTCCAAGCATGCATTATACCCTTTCGTAAACATTATCTATTTTTGTAACATTAAATGAGGCCCCTCCTCATGTAAAATCCTAGCTCTGTCACTGGCTGTAAACCGGGAACAACACATACACCTAAATAGAAATTTTCTATTAAGTCGACCTTAAAATTGTAGCACAAATACTGGCATCATCCGATGCGAATGTATATTCTACTAACCATGCTTTGATACCAAACCGAAACACCTCGAGCCGAATAGCCTTCTAGCCAAGAGTGAAAATGTGCTGGCCAACACTAAATTGATAATAAAACCCCACCATAAATGTGACGAAAGACTATCAACTTAATGACAAAGCATAAGCAAGGAAATTGTGATGTGAATTATTTCGAACCGAAAGGCCCACTTATTAATTATTTAAACTATTAGGTAAGTTCTTGCACAACCTCCCCACTTGGGGACACATGCTAGAACTAAATTTCATTTTTATATCACATCGATGAGAGCATAGCAGTAGTGCATACAACAGTAAATCATAAAAGTATTGTGTTGTGCCATTTATATAATCAAAAGTAGTTCGTACAATTGACTATAAATAGATATCGACAAAGCAAAAGTGAAACTCTCCAACTAATATGAAGTATGAAGCCTGCACTACTGCTAAGCTCAATTGTCCTCCTCAACGCACGACTTGCTCTTGCTAGATCCTTGGTGGTGTTTTGTTGAGAAGGGGGGGGGGGGGGCGTAAAACAAAGTGTGAGTAGATTATAATCATTTATCAAGTAAAATAATTTGCAACGTACTAACCCCCGTTTTGGAAATACATACATAGTTGGAAGACTACATAATAGTATTTAGTACCATAATAGTAAATGAAAATCACAACCAATTCATGTACCAAAATTTTCAGTAATCATACATGTATTCAATTAATCGCACTAGCATCTACTAACATAAGTATAGCATGCAGGGTATGCTAGTCTACTAGCTGAGTTCTCTACCGGTATCAATAAGTAATCTAGCCTCTGCAAGAAATATAACACCTATAAATAATTTACGACCATAGCTATACAAAATATCACATGATGACCATGTGGTGGAAATAAATCACCAATGTGTCCACTCATTGATAATGCGAGCATAATCCATAATAGGTGCCTTTGTCCATAATTGTAACCTTTATAATTGCACCTATAAAATAACAATTAGATTTACTAAGCCTATTATAACATTTCACAATTTTATTAACAGCTTTGAATTAGCCTAAACAGACGGCGCTACGCGATTCGGGACATCAAAAAACTTATAGTAGGTCTGAGTTCCATGCACGCTGCCACAAACCCCCATGGTGGCGTCGCACGCCATCACGCGCAAGTGGACGTGCCGCCGTTGCACGCCGTCATGCGAGTAAAGCTGCAGTCACCGTGCCGGTGGCCACGAGCCGGTCATCGGATATAGTTTAAGGTTTAATGGAATATATCTGATTTCCATTGAAGATTATGTTATGTCTAACGGACGCCATTGCTTGTCGCCATTAAAGTTAACGGCGACACCGTTGACCATCGCCAAAGCTCCAGGAAAGACTTAGAACTCGAACCAGAGTTCGAATCAGCTCGATTCTTCATCCAAATTTTCACAGAATTGTACAACAAGTTTTAGAAATTTACCTAATCCTCGATATGAGTTGATTTGGGACTGATTTGGAAAGGGTTTATTGTTTCACCGTTTTCTAGAACCGAATTGTGGAGGTTAAAAACCTCAGATCCATTTTGGATCTTCACCAAAATCATACCAAAAGTTCAGAGTACTTACCAAAACATGAAGATTTCGAGTTGAACCCATCCTGGATTTGATGAAGCTTCACTAGACATCTTCACCGGAAAACTGGAGAGTTGCACAAAGGATTTCCAGAGTTAAAACCTTTGAGTTTCTAATTAAAACTAAGATTCCAAGTACGAATTCCCTAACTGGAAAATATTGAAGATGATCTCGAGCTCGATTAGGCTCAGTTCTTTCAAGTTCGCACTTAAACTTGCAGAATGCCTGTGTAGTGAGTTCGTGCCTTACCTAGTAACGATTTTCACATGCAAAGGCAGCACCATGCTCACCAAGCTTCACAGAGTGGGGTTGTGATATTTTGAGAGACAAATTTCTCTTGGATGGTGAAGGTTATGGTGGTTTGGCACTCGGCTAGAGAGAGTGAAGGAAAGAGAGGTTGCATAGTTAGAGAAAGAGAGTCTCGTGTAAATAAGGGAGAAGAGGACCGAGGATGAGGATTAAGGTACCGTTTGATATGGGATGGGACGGAATAGGATGGAACATGACGGAATGAAACGGAACCTTATGTTTGGTATGCGCATGACGGGACAGGACAATTGTTTCATTCTGTGTTTGGTAAGCGCATGACAGCAAGGAACTAAAAGATTAAATGACGAAATTACCCCTGTTCCGCTTGTTGTTTGGTATAATTGTGAACACGAAAATTCCTAAAACAAGAACACGTGTACAAAATATATTTTTTATTGATTTTGGGGTTACAATCTCTTCTACGAATTTAGCCTCTGATTCTATCTTCGTAAAATGTAGATATGTGGATGGGTTGTTGATCCAAAGGGCCGTCGGGGGTTTGGTCTAGGGATGAACAATTATGCGGATTTATTGATGTTGTTGATCCAAAGGGCCGTTGCGGCTTGATCTTAGGATGAACAGTTGATGAACAGATCTTCAAGGGCTTTTAGGCTTGATCTTAAAGAACGGGTTGTTTGTTGATCCAAAGGGTCGTCGAGGCTTGATCTTGGGATGGACAGTTGATGAACGAATTTTCAAGTGCTTTTGGGCTTGGAATTGAAGAGGGGGTGGGTGGATTTGTTGATGATGTTGAAGTTGAGTCCAAATGTTAGAGCTCAACGACTTGCAACAATAGACTTGTCACTAACTCGAGTCCGGTCTTCTCAGTAAGCTGCTTCAGGAGATTATCAAGTCACCAAGACTTCTTTAGCTTCCGTCCAGGTGCGTCTAGATGCGTTGGTACGTGAGCGAGAACAGTTGGGAATCGAAGCATCGCAACTTGAAAGTATTCTCGTGGAGCAAGGCACTTTCTCAGTACCAGGATGAGATTTCACGCCTAGAACAAGAGAAAAGCATGGCTATGGAGTTGCCCATCTTGTCTCCCGGCGAGGTAGAGATTTTGAAGACTTTGGAAGGCTTGCTTGAAGACGCCTCCGTAGTTTTGGGGATGTAGCTTTCAAGTAGTGTTTTTTTTTTGTTTTTTTTTTTGTAATCAGGCTTTGGAGCCGACTTCATCCTTTAAAGAAATAAAGTATTCGCAATCTTGAATTTGTTCTTTATTCTTCAAAGTGTTTGTGTTGTTTTTTTTTTTTTTTTTTGGTGTGACTATACTTGAAGTTTTGAAGTTTCAAGTTGCCTACGTACCTTCGGTTGAGAAAGGATCAAGTCATAACGTAGTTCAAATGAATGATTTTGATGATGATTTTTCTGTACGTAGTTTATGCTCTTGTAGGACAGGAGTGTGGTTTGTTTGTTTTAGGGGTAGTTGCGCTTCAAGAATCTACCATTGATGGGGCCGATCTTCAGGCCATCTTCTGCCATGATTAAGTAGGTGTCGTTGGTGTAGACCTCTTGTATTACGTATGGTTCATCCCACTTTGATGTGAACTTGCTTTTTGTTTTGTGAGTTATAATGATAAGCCTACACAATGCGAGGACGAGATCTCCAGTTTGGAAGGACCTTGGGCGGACCTTCTTGTTGAATGTCTTGGATAACCGTGCTTTGTAGCATTCTAAGTGTTGTTCAGCTTCGAGCCTTCTCTCATCCAGCACTTCTTGCTCTTGAAGACGTAACTTTGCATTCTCTTCATCAGTCAAGCCTTCTTGTATAGCCATTCCAGACTTTCGAGCGGTGGAATAGCTTCCACGCCATATACGAGAGAATAAGGCGTAGCTTGGGTGGGAGTCCTATGTATAGTCTTATACGCCCAAATTGCTTCACTTATTCTTTCATACCAGTATCTCTTTGTTCGACAGATTACCTTCTTCAGGAGGTTGCACAGCATCCTGTTAAATGCTTTTGCAAAACCGTTGGCCGGAGCATGATACATGGAAGACTTGTGCTGTTTGAACTTGTATTTCTCACAGAGCTCATCTACGAATCGGTTGGAGAATTGTTTTCCGTTGTCAGTGATAATGTGGCGAGGTACACTATATCAGTAAATGATATGCTCTTTGATGAAAAAGACGACAGTCTCCTTCTTGACTTCCCTTAGGGGTAAGGCTTCAGCCCACTTGAAAAATTAATCTGTTGTAGCTAGGATGTAAGCTTCTCCTGCAGATGACTTTGGAGTAATTGGTCCTACAATGTCTAATCCCCATGCGCCGAATGGCCATGAAGCAGCTGTAAGGTGTAATGGTTCAGGCGGTTGATGTATGAAGTTGGTGTGGAATTGGCAGGCTTGGCACCTTTTGGCATGCTGCAAGCAATCCTTCACCATGCTTGGCTAGTAATAACCCATTCTTTTGAGCTATAAATGCAGCTTTGGTCCAGACTAATGCACTCTACAAACACCTGAGTGTGCCTCTTCCATGGCTTGATTGGCTTCTTCCTTGCCTAGATATCTTAGAAGTATCCCTTCAAAAGAGTGTCGGTAGAATGTTCCTTTGTAGTAAAGGAAACGGGGTGCTCGTCGACGTATTTCTGAGCGGTGTCTAGGATCATCTGTCTCCACTCTTCAGCGTCAATTGGAAGTACTGAGATGACATTTGTATCATCCAGTAGCATTCCAGTAACGAGCGGGATCACCCATCTTTGGCAAATTGGCACGTCTACAGCTTCATCTTTTCCTAGTGTCATACTCGAGGCTAGATTGGTGAAAGCGTCTGCCATTTGATTTTCTTTTCTTAGCATATGTTTTAGTGTCACGGCCTCGAACTTTTGTAGCAGTTGAGTTGCCAGACAGAAGTATGGGATGAGATCATCTTTCCTCACCTCATATTCAGTTAAGAGTTGATTGATTATGAGCTTGGAGTCGCCATACACCTCAAGAGCTGTGATTTGCATGTTGATTGCCACTTGGAGCCCGATGATCAGCGCTTGGACATTGTTGGAGCATAACTCACTCAGTTGGAAGGAGTAAGGTAGTATTTGCCTTTACGGCGACATGAATACTACTCCTACCCTTGTTCCATCTGCTCGTATGGATCCGTCGAAGAACATCATCCATGTTGGGAAGATGTCGATGTAGAATACCTCCTTGTCGGGCAAGTCGTCTGAGATTTTCCAATTAGCTGGAATCGGATGATCGATGAGGAAGTCTGCTAGCGCTTGTCCCTTGACGGCGTTAGTTGGGATTTAGATGATCTCATATTGATTGTGAAGTAATGCCCATTTAGCTAGTCGTCCTGTCAAAACTGGTTTGGACATGACGTATTTGACCAGGTCAGCTTTAGCAACCAAGTGGATGGTGTAAGCATATGCGTGTAATGTCTAAGCTTCTGAATGGCGAACACTAAGGTGAGGCACATCTTTTCTATTGGGAAGTAGTTTAACTCAGCGCCGATGAGAGTTCGGCTGAGGTAGTAAAGCGCTCATTCTTTCTGGGATTCATTCTCTTGCGCCAACAGTGCTCCAACTGAACTTTCTTGAGCGGCAATGTACAATATGAGCGGCTTCCCGGGCATAGGCGCCCCCAGGACAGGTGGACTTGATAAATACTTTTTGATGCTTTCAAAAGCATTGCGGCATGCTCGTCCCATACGAATGGAACATCTCTCTTCATGAGTCGGCTAAATGGTTGACAACGCCTTGCAAGGTTGGAGATGAAGCGTCTGATGAAAGTTAGCCGTCTTTGTAGACTTTTCAGCTCGTGTAGGTTTCTTGGCTCAAGCATGTTTTGAATGGCCTTGATCTTTGATTGGTCCACTTCAATGCCACAGTGCTTGACAATGAAGCTGAGGAACTTTCCAAAGGTGACGCCAAATGCACATTCTAACAGGTTCATCTTGAGGTTGTATTTTCGCAACCTTTCAAACAATATTCGCAAATCTTTCAAGTGATATGATCTTTCCTTTATCTTGACCACCACATCGTCTACGTAACATTCTACGTTCTTGTGTAGCATGTCATTGAAGATTTTCTGCATTACGCGTTGATAAGTAGCTCTGGCGTTCTTCAGACCAAAGGGCATCACCTTATAGCAGTAGATACCTTTTGGGGTGCGGAAGGCTGTTAGTTCCTCGTTTTCGAGAGCCATGCAAATTTGATTGTATCTAGAAGAGCCATCCATGAATGACAATGCCTCATGGACAGTGGTTATGTCCACCATGATTTCGATGATTGGTAAAGGGAAGTCGTCTTTCGGCAAGCATCTTTGAGGTCTCAAAAGTCTACGCAAACACGTATTTATCCAGATTTCTTAAGGACAATGATGATGTTGGAGATCCACTTGGGGTATTACACTTCTCGAATGAAGCCTGCTTCGATTGGCTTGTCAATCTCGACCTTAATTTGTGGGATAAGCTCAGATCGATAACGCCTTTGAGTTTGCTTTATCGATCGCGTTCCAGTCTTGACTGCAAGACGATGCACAACAATGATAGGGTCAAGGCAGGGTATTTCCTTATATGTCTAGGCAAACACGCCTTTGTAGTCTAATAACAGTTGGTAGTAATCCTCTATCTTGTTTGCACTAGCAGCACATTTACGAAGATAGGTTTGGGCTCCTCGCTTGTGCCTAAGTTGAGTTCCTTGAGATCATCAACCATGGCTTGCCCCCCTCATCTTCGAGCTGTGGTGGTGCAGCAGTGACATCTTCCTTAGGGACTTCGTCTTCTTTGCCTTCTTGGATCGTGATGTAGAAAACATCTTGAACCTCCTCTTCAGTGTTGTCCACTCGAGCTTGTTGGTATGAAGATTGTCCAGTGTGGATGATGGTGTGCTTTTTTACTTTCAGTGGTCCATTTGTGTTAACCTTTAAGATTGCTTGGCGCTTCATCCTTGAAGGAATAGAGCTTCGAACGTCATCTTTTTTTGCCAAACCATCGAGCTTTTCTTCTTTTAGTGTTGTCTTTCTCTTTCCATAAAGCTTCTTGGTTTCTTTAAGTCTTACCAAAATCAACCGTTGCGAGAGAGAGCTAGTCGTGTTGCTTTGTTTCTTAGGCTTTGACAACCTTTCGAAAACAGAGCTTTGGGATGTTGGTGTATTAAGCCT